TTTTTTTTTTTTTGTGAAGTATCACTTGAAAATAAGTGAGGGATACAAGTTATCAACTCAATTGGGTCTAGACAAATTAGCAAGGAACTGTGGGATTGTATCAACAGATATCCTGGGCCGAACCATCGGACCAAAGCCATGGAAAACAAACGTGCGATTAAACAGATCCTATCTCATCCAAACAAATGAGCCTTCCGAATATTGAAAAAGTCTCAATTTATTTTCCCATTGTGTGGTGTGTGTGTATACGTGTGAGGGGAGATGCAAATGAAATGGGAATTGATAGAAAGAGCAAAACCAGAACTAGAAACCGAGCATCTGCTCAAGTTTGGAAGTCTAAAGATGAAGCTCAAAGCTTTCATTTCAGATTTAGAGTCAGCAGCATAGTAGCAACATTGTCATGCCTCATAACGCCACTCAATGTGTGCATCGACCTTGTTATTTCGATGTTTGCATGATGAACCTTTTGCATATACCTAGCTGGACGATTACACAGAGGGCTCGCAGGCTATAGCTTGTTGTACTTCGTGCAAGACTGATGCTGTCCTGGAGAAAGCTCAACAATGTCTATAAAATTCAAGACTTGGAAACTAGCTTATGTTGTTCTAGTTAAGATTGTTAAGAACTAGCTAGAGAACAGGGGTAATGCAATTTTTGTGGTGCTATAATAAGAGAAATCCTGCTGTTAAGACACATCTCAAGTGTCCTAACTATATGAAACTAAGTCATTGAAATGATAGATAACTTTTTCGTGGTCCAGATATTAAATTCTCTGTATGTTTTCAGGAGAAATCCTGTTTCACTATTTGCCTTGATGTCAACAAAGTTTGCGTCAGATTTACACTAGACGAACATTGACAAAATATAATGGTTACAAGGCCGATCAAGTGATCATTCAGGACTTTGGACCCTTTCCTTACCGTTGATGCGTGCCAGTCTGATAAATCCTAGTGGTACTCAATTCTCACAGGTCAAAGGACGAATTAGCTGAACAGCATACCACAAGCATCTGCAAAATACACAAACATGGATCATGCATTGTAAATACACTAAAGAAAGAGCATGAAAAATAAGTGATGGAAAGAAAACCCATCCAAATAAAGAAACCAGCTGTACATGATTATAAAACAGGAAATACAAGTTTGCCATAGGTAAACAAGTGACAGAGTACTGTATTATACTTTGATTTAGCCGTGAAAAGCATTACAGTCATCAAGATGGATCAAATTTGTACTCATAGTCTAAGTAAGAAGAGCCATCATCATCAAACTTGAGTTTATCATGTACATTTTGTGAAACCACAATAGCAATTTCTATCACAATGATATAAATGTCATCTGGTTGATGTTCCAATAAAGCCGGACTTAAGTAGCAGAAGATGCATGTTAATATACTTTCTCAAAAGTTAAAGTTCCAGGTAAATACAATAGTCTTATATTGAAAGAACTTATATGGCAATCACAACTCAACCCCCATAGTTACTACTAAGGAATCAAATCCCATTACATATCAGTATAGTCATCGTACACAATGTGATTTTTAAGCACAAGATCTGTGAACATATTAGAGAAAGCAAGAGAAATAAAGAACCACTCTTGAGGATCTCACAAAACTATTTAATCGAGTAGACCCTGTCATGATGTCACTGCTCCAAATCCAAGAAATTAAATCATTGTCTTGAATGTCTAAGTTATCCTGTCTTCAAAACCAAATGCCTGCACGTGCCTTCTCTCTTAACATACATCCAAAAATAAAGCCAGCATATTCAAGCACAAAATCGTTTTTACAACTCATTGTCAATTTTCAAGATTCACGATTGCTATAGCATCTCAAGCAATATCCATGTTATAAATTACGGAAACAAGTAATCAGTCACCAAACCAGGATAACATCTGAGAACTCCCCTAATTCAGCAACACACGAATGTCAAAACCATAAACCTGCAGGCAAGTTCCGTGTGACGCCATCCTAGCATTAGTTCTCTTTCGAGCTGCCCTTCCAGCTAATATAAGTTAATTCCTCATCACGAAATATTCCAACTTTGTCCAACCCACAAGTCATTGCACACCGCTCGTCTTGCCGCCATTTCTGTCCTGCCCACGGCGCTCCATAAGAACAAGATTGAAAAGCTTCATTCGAGCCTCATACACAGGGTCCCGCTCGATCAGCCGCCCTCTCTCATAAGCCTCCCTCAGAAATACAGTGTGCGCGTACCCTTTTGTCGACAGATAAAACATCCCCGGATGGTCTAAAAATAAGTCCCTCACGTTCAAGTCGATCCCAAACCACTTCCTAAAATGACTGATCTTCTCAACCTCCACCATCTTCTCCACGGTCAGGCTCAAGAACTCGTGCACGATCCCCACCGCCCTTTTTTCCATCCTCCTCACCCCATTTTTAGTTCTCTTGAATTCTTCTGATTCGTAAGGGTTCACATATGGCAGTCTCTGCCACTCCTTGACTTTGGCCTTGAAATCCTTCCTCAGCCGCATCCCGGGCGGGTACCCGTGCTTGAAACCGTACATTAATTCGGTCCCATCTACAATGCTACAATCCTCTTTGCAACATTCCATGGCCCGCCACTTGTCGACAGCAGGAACCAAACAATCTTTAAATTCGTCACTATCTTTGAGCACCAGAATGTGGGTATTGGGCTCGTTTCCATCTTCAAGAGAGAAAACGTCTGAATTCCTTGAGATCACGGAGCCCTCGAAGTCATCGGGCAGCCCTAATTCTCGCCAGACCTTGAAAACGGCTCTGAGGGGCAGCTTTCGGGTGAGGGACATGGACAGGAGCTTGACCAATCGGGTCACGGCGAGTGGGAGAGAGTTGTCTATGGCTCGGGATTCGAGATGGACTATTTCAAGGGCGGCGGGGGTGAGGGAGCAGAAGGGCTGGAGCTTGGTGGGGTGGTTGAAGACGCGGAAGATGTGGGGGTACTTTCGGAGGAAGACGGCGGGGCCGCGGTTGAGGTGGAGGCGCTGGGAGAGGCGGTGGAGGAACTCGAGGGAGACGGCGGGCGGGTCGGAGGTGGAGGCGAGGATGAGGTCCTGTATTGAGATGACCTTGAGGAGGTTCTTGTACTTGTCCATCAACTTCTCGAAGGTGGGGTCACGGGACCTCGAGGCCACGTACTGGGCGGACGTCGTTTTCGTGCGGCGGAGGGCGGCGGCAGAGGGGATGATTTTCTTTACAATTTGGGTCGCCATCATTTTTTTTAATTGTTATTATATTTTCTTAATTTTTTTTTTATTTTTTTTTTCAATTTCTGGCTTCTTTCTCAAATTTATCTGCTCAATTCTTGAGCACAATGCTCACCAGTCATCAGGACCATTTGTACTTTGTAGTCCCATAAATTACGCACAATCACAACAATCTATGACTGATGCCGTCAAAATGGAACGACTTTTGTGTGTAGTGGTAATACGATGCAGATGAGGGTCGTCGATTGAAGAATGCGTGTAATCGGGCTTGACGGGCAAAGTCCAAAGTGCAGAATTCGGAAGCAGCTCACGTCCAGGTGCTAGCGCGATAAACCCTGTCGTTGCTGGCGCAATGGATCTAGTCGTCGTTGGTGTGACAGTTGTTGCACAACATGACGAGTCCAACTGTTGTTGCTGGCGTGGAGACTCCTATGTCTTTATGCCCAAGCTAATCAACTTTTCCATTATAACTAACTTTTGAGCGGCTTAAACTCACTTTTGAGTTACAAAAACTCAACTTCCCCACATTTCAACTTTACAAATAATTTCTCATTCAATATAAAATGGTTTTGAGATTTTTTTTTTAAGTTTTCCATCATTGAAAAATGAGGCCGTAAAATTGACAAAATCAGTTTTCCCTGATAACCCCCACATGAATGAAATTAATGCATATATGTAATATTTGACGAGCCGTCA